CTTATTTTATGTGACCACCTCGCTGACAGCCCTACCTTTGATGCAGACTCCCTCTTTGACATTTTGTCAGTGACAGCTTTATTACAGTCTTTGATCTTATTTTTCCCTTTAGCATTCCTCACCTCCCTTACTGATGCTGCCACTGACATACTCTGCACCTTCGCTAGTCTTTGAACTGCCATAATACATAGTGCATCCTACCCTGCAGTACTGTATGACCCTTGTGGGTTTAGCACTTCTGATTGTATTATTATTATTAATATACTTTTTGATATGAGGCCAAGAATTTTATTCGCTTTATTGCAAACACTTACGCACTGTTGTCTTGGGTTTAGATTACTGCTAACCAGAATTCCTAAATCTTTTTCGCATTCAGAATGATTAAGATCTATATTATTTATAAGTGACATAGTTATTTTCTTTTCCATATATATTTATATTAAACTGTATTTGCCACTTCTCCGACCACTGCATCAGTCTTTTCAGATCTTCCTTTAGCGCTCTAGTGTCCTCGTCAGAATTAATCCGACCTATTTTAATGTCATCGCAAATTTGTTCATGTCGTCATAAGCAAGTTTGCCAGTGTATATTGTGAACAAAGGGCCCAACACTTACCCCTCTGGAATACCGTTTGTGGCGCGTTTCCCACTCTGATTTCTCCAAATTTATGCAAACACTCTGTTGCCTATCTGTCGACTGTGCCTTTAATGTATCCCTTTCCTTGTGTCTCTACTTTCCTCAACAATCTCCGATGTGGAACTCTTACAAAAGCCTAACCGAAGCCCATATACAAAATATTATATTCCTTATGACCTACTGACTCAAATATGCGAAAAAGTTAGTAAATTTGTAAGGCAGGAACGCCCTTTTGTAAAGCCGTGCTGAGATTCATTATTCAATTTATTACTTTCAAGGTGCGTCGAATAGCCTCGGCAATTATTGATTTCATCATTTTTTTCCACCATGGTGGCTAGGCAAATTGGTCTATAATCCGAAGCTAAGGGCCTGTCTCCTGCTTTGTAGATGGGTATAACATCTGCCATTTTCCACTTATCTGGTACTATGCCTTGCTACACGTGTCATACATGACAGGTCCAGACCTGCGACCTGCTACACGTGTAATGCATGACAGGTCCAGACCTGCTACATGCCATACATGACAGGTCCAGACCTGCTACACGTGTCATAAAAGACAGGTCCTGACCTGCTACACGTGTCATGGACGCCAGTCAGCAGAGGTCAAGAGCCAAGGCTCCCTTACCACGGACTGCTCTCAAAGAACACGCAGATCGTGTTGCCTGACAGGCAGGGAACATCTGGAGAGTCGGGCAGCTTGTGAACCAAGATTAATTGGTAATATGGTAGCGGGGTTCAATGATACTTCTTCGGAGGCTTCTTACTTTATTTGCTATGTCGTGGTGGATACACAGGCTTGTGTGTTTGCGCATGGCCGGGGAGGCCATCCCACGAGAGGGAGAACTAGTAGGCCTTCTGTCTTGCTGCTTGGCCGCTGTGTGAGTGAGAGTGTGGGCCCAGCATCCCACAGACTTGGGCAGGCCCAGAGGGCAGCACATAGTGGCGCGAAATATGGACAAAGCTGGCAGACAGCATAAGCTGTCTGTGCAGACAGTACAGGCTGTCTACAAACTGTCCACCAGCCAAGCACAGAGTCCTGCTGACTAGGAGGGTAGTGACGTGCCTTTTTTGGATCACCCGTTATGATGTAGCTATGTTTGACCACTGCTGCACATTAACGGCCCCCTTCCAGGCTGGCGACATTGCAGACCTGGAGAGTGTACAAAGAACTTTCAAGGCACGCATAAGTGCGATAAGGCACCTAAACTACTGGGAACGGTTGAAGGTCCTTGATCTGTATCCCCTCGATCGCAGGCGAGACACATGATAATATACACTTGGAAGGTCCTGGAGGGATTTGTACCAAACCTGCACACGAAAATCACTCAATATGAAAGCAAAAGACTCGGCAGGAGATGCAACATTCCCTCGATGAAAAGCAGGGGCGTCACGAGTACGCTGAGAGACAACACAATAAGTATTCGGGACCCAAGACTGTTCAATTGCCTCCCAGCATACATAAGGGGGATTACCAATAGACCCCAGGCTGTCTTTAAGAAGGCACTGGACAGGCACCTAAAGTCAGTACCTGACCAGCCGGGCTGTGGTTCATACGTCAGCTTGCGTGCGGCCAGCAGTAACAGCCTGGTTGATCAGACCCTGATCCACCATGAGGCCTGGTCTCAGACCGAGCCGCGGGGGCGTTGACCCCCGAAACCCTTTCCAGGTAAACTCCAGGTAAACCCGTTGTGGCGTAGCAATCTTGGCCCACCCGTTGTGACGTAGTAATGTTGGCCCACCAGTTGTGACGTAGCTATGTTGAACCACCCGTTGTGACGTAGCTATGTTGAACCACCCGTTGTGACGTAGCTGTATTGGACCCTCCGTTGTGACGTAGCTATGTTGGACCAGCCGTTGTGATGTAGCTATACTGAACCACCCTGCCATCCGTTGCCAGAATCTTATCAGGAGCGGGCAGTTGGCGCTTCAGAAATTTTCACTGTTTTCTTTCCTTGACAACACTAATATTACAACACAAACAACGGTCTGACGACACTGGAGTATAGGAGGATTAGGGGAGACATGATAACGACATACAAAATATTGCGAGGAATAGATAAGGTGGACAGAGAGAGGTTGTTCCAGAGATGGGACACAGAAACAAGGGGTCACAATTGGAAGTTAGTCTCAGATGAGTCAAAGGGATGTTAGGAAGTATTTCTTCAGTCACAAAGGTGTCAGGAAGTAGAATAGTCTGGCAAGTGATGTAGTGGAGGAAGGAACAATACATAGTTTTAAAACGAGGTATGATAAAGCTCATGGAGCAGGGAGAGAGTGGACCTAGTAGCGATCAGCGAAGCGGCGGGGTGAGTACAAATAGGTGAGTACACACACACACACACACACACACACACACACACACACACACACACACACACACACACACACACACACACACACACACACACACACACACGATCGTGCACCTTCTACATGGTGGAATTTTTCACTTTAGTTTTAGAGGTTAGAAATACAGTACCTACACTCTGAAGGATGAGTGGATTGTTGTGGTGTTAGTTGTGGTTGTGGCGGCGGCGGCGGCGACAGCTGATGCTTCAGGGCTACTCCGGCTTGTGTGCTATGAACCCTGCTCCCAGAAGTGTGGATTTTAAATGTTCAGTAACAGACACAAATGCAGATTCAGATACCTCTCAGCCTGCCTGTGGTGGCGTAGAGAAAGAAAATCGTAGCATGTAGAACATAAACACGAATGTCTGGGTCACAACCAAAGTCGTAGAGAAGGACTGGGAATGCAGGTTGACTAATAACACCTTCCTGAGCTAAATCCTGGTGGAGTCTGGTAGAGGCTAAGACCTGGGACAGTAGAGCAGAAAGTGCTCCAGTGTATCACCCACCATAGAGCTCAGCGGCTCAATTGAATCCTCTAGTCCAAGCATTTCTGGCATAACAGCTGTTGAGTGATGGTGAATTTACTGTCTTCATTGCATCACTTTACATTGGTCGAAAACGACCGTAGTGGTAAAAAAATACATTTCACTGAAAAATGGCAACTGTCTTGAATGGACAAAAATATCCTTTTTTTTTTTTGTCAGCTATAACTTTTCAACTTTCGTTTTGTTTAATTTAAACAAGACACTAATAAAACAATGACATCAATCATCTCGGTACTGAGAATATTCATGAACAGTTTCGTGCATGACGCGCCGCTCACACATACTTTTTGATGTTTTATGTATTGCGATATTGCAGCAGCAGCAAGACTGGCATGAATATAAGCCCTGTGAGACATCAAAAGATATCCTAGGACGTAAATATACGATATATATCACGGGATATTCGAGGACATCATTCAATAACGCGAGATATCACAGGACATCACGGGATGCCAAATTATCCAAAGACCTGATTATCTTCGTTCGGAAAATCACTTAATTATAAGTCAGTCATGCATAACACAGCGCACAGGCTTTCAAATGACCACCAAACAATAACAGACCAACGAGGCAAAACACCTGTTCTTCCAGTATATTGCTCAACATGTGGGACAGATCGCCCGAGGAAGTATATGTCCAGTAATACTTAAGGTATTACTGGACATTAGGTATAATACGCAGTGTGCGTATTATACTTAAGGTATAATATGCACACTGCTTACTAAATACGGAAATATTTTAGGTAACAACAAAATCTCAAAAGTAAAAAAAAATTAAAATAAATCTAATAAAAGAAACCATCTTTAAATGAATAATTTATAATGAATTGGGCGAACTGGAATCTATACATTGTTTTAAGGGTCTATGATAATGCGATTTCAGTAGGCCTGTAAAAATTTTAATCGGCTCCTGATAGTATATACCCAATATACATTTAAAATTATGTTCGATACGTTTTTCTTCCAACGCGTAGCTGATGTTTATAGTGCAGCAGCGCTGGGTCTCCCAGAGCTCTAATGTTTTGGGCTCAGTGTTGTGTTGATGGATAAGGTTCCATGAATAAGGTTTTTGTGTGTTGTGTTTACCTGTTGTATGCACTTTATACTGCATCTGTAATTCTGACAGTGACGACGTAACCGAGCCCATTTGACCAGGATCTTGGTGCCTCCCTGCTAGCACATGATAGTTGACCCTGTGTGACCCAGTTTGACCTATATCGGTATGTCTCATTAACAGTAACATGAATGTTGACCCTGTGTGATAACGTTTGACTTCGGCTATCACTACTCGTGCTTCCCCCAAAGTGACATGCAAGGTGACCTCGTCGGATTCCGTGTGACCCCACTTTATCTTCCACAACAGTACCTTGCTATCTGACCCTGTGTGACCCAGAATGAATGTGTTTGACCCAAAAAAATTTCTCCAACAGTGGCATGCTCGACGGTGACAGTGTCGAGGTGCCAGGCGGCACTGAGGACGCTGGTACAGTTCCCGTGGTTCCAGCCCACATGCCTGTGTCGGGAGCCACGCCTCGACCCCCAGTGTAACGCCTTCAGGGACCTCGTCTTCGACCACCCCTGTGTCTTTGTCACCAGGAAAGGTACAGTAATCTGAGCGTCCAGTTGAGTCTCGTTTCCTGGTGTCAGAATTTCTCGGGCAAACATGAGGCAGGCCAGAACGACATGGGTTCGAATCTTCGGGTAGTCGCAATGTTGTTATTGATTCAATACCACTCGTTCGTGGTTACAATAATATAAAATACTGCTCGTGAGGACCAGTACATTAAACGGGAATTAGAATGAAATTAGCTCAAAGGCACCCACACTTCTGTATGTCCTCGGATCAAGGTAAAACACCTAGCTCTGCTGGGTGTTTGATTCTTGTAGAATTGCGTGGTCCTCTGGGTTAGAGCATGTGTGATTTTCGCTCACCATGTGGCGGGCCAAAACGACATAGGTTTGAATCCTCGGCTAGTCGCAGTGTTCTTATTGATTCAGTACCACTCGTTCATGGTTACGAGAATATAAAATACTGCTCGTGAAGGCCAGTACACCAAACTGGGAATATAATGAAATTAGCTCCGAGGCACCCAAACCACCATATGTCCTCGGATCAAGGTAAAACACCTAGCTCTGCAGGGTGCCTGATTCTTGTAGGATTGCGTGGTCCTGCAACTAGCCAAGGATTCGCCATGGGTTCGAATCCTTGGCTAGTCGCAGTATTGTTACTGAGATTATATATATATATATATATATATATATATATATATATATATATATATGTTCAGGCTGTTTTGTATACATCCAGTTTTTATTCTACTTATTCGACAAAATAATTTTTTTTTAAACCAAGCCCACCGATACAACTTACTCAGCACGAGAGCGAGGCAGAGAGAGCGAAGCAGAGAGAGCGAAGCAGAGAGAGAGAGAGAGAGAGAGAGAGAGAGAGAGAGAGAGAGAGAGAGAGAGAGAGAGAGAGAGAGAGAGAGAGAGAGAGATCTTATAGCACTTAGAAGTATCTCGCATCTGCTTGACAATAGAGGTTGCAAGATTCTGTACGAGGCACAAGTATGTTCACACCTTGAGCATGTTCCATTTTCATAGACTACCTGCCCTCCGTCTCAGAGCAAGACGACTCATCTCTCGCCTGGACCCAGCCTAGATAGATCTGTTATTTCAGCATAACCTTCAACACCGGAGGAATGTTGGTGGCCATATTGTTTTGTATAAAGCCAACATTGACAAAGTTCCACACTTAGCTCCACTCTAAGACAGCAAGAAGTGAGCTTCTACACAACAAGACGGGCAGCAGTCAACAACTTTACTGTGACTGTATCCCTCTCAATGACTTCACTTTATCTGTGGTCATTTATTCATAGGATGACTCGAATTTGGAACATGTTCGTACAGGATATTGACATCAACGAAATAAAGTCAGTTGACTAAATGAAATCGTTGGTCCACAGATGACTCCAACTTCATCGTATTCCCTGTTTATAAAATTTTTAACAGTAAAAAGGCTTTAAAATGAGCTGATGAAGGTAACACCTATTACTTTGTAAATAAAGTTAGGAACCCCTAACCTTGTAAAACCCTGTGTTAAAAGAGAGAGAGAGAGAGAGAGAGAGAGAGAGAGAGAGAGATGAAAATGAGTGCAGGGAATTAAATAAATATTTTTAATAAAGTGGTGTGCTGGCCTATAAAATGTGAATTAAATGGCAGCAGATTATAAAAAATAGCTACGACAACTAAATTATAAACACAAAATTATTTACGATACATTCCCCTGGGAATCCTCAAACTGTAAACTGATAATGAAACCCGGTTACTAGCGTCAGCCCAGTAATGTCCTTATGCAAACATGCATGGAGTCGTTGCAACATTTTTTTTTTTTGGGTGGGGAGGGAGATGAGTTAATGGAATGTAAGAGAACGTGATCATGAATTGTTGAGCTGATGTGTGTAGCACTGTTGATACTGGTTCGTCAGGGAAAAATTAGGTAACAGCAGTAGTGGCCCTGTGGCTGTTAGGTAGCAACACAGTGGTGTCTGAGAACACCGTGGAAGGTGTGGCAATTATTGAAATTTAAAAAGCACTTTAACAGTGTAAAACGTTCAGCATTCTTAGCAATGAAAAATACAAGAAAAACAGATAGTTAAAATAAAATAAGCCATTACAGATAAAATTCATTAAAAGCTGTCACGCCGAAGTTAAAATAAGCAGCATGAGTTTAAAATTCCATTAAACTGTTAATGTTTAAAACACTCCTAAAAGTTCCACGAGGCTCCTTCAGGCGCCCCGGTAATTATAAAAATTTCAAACAAAAAGAAAACAGCCTATATCGTGGGGAAACAGGAAACAAGCATTTTCCACAGTCAACTGCACACCACGAGCTATTTAGAGGGCGGGGGGGGGGGTAATTAGAGAGAGAGCTTGCAAACTGGTGGCTGTATGTGCACGATCCTTAAGAACATAAGAAAGGAGAGACACTGCAGCAGGCCTACTACCCCATATTAGGCAGGCCTTTGTCAAACTCAAAACAACTAACAAAAATATATACTTCAGAGTGACTATTGTTGCTGAAGGATGAGGGCCAAAGACTTTGTGCTTATCCGCAAATCTTTATTTAAGATGTATTAATATTACTGCACCAAACACAATTCGGTCAAGAGTATTGGTTTGTGTCATCGTGTCGTGGTGACGCAGCATTGGCAGTAGAATCTTGCAGCAAAAGTCGCTGCGTTTGCCATCCTGCAGCCCACTGCCTCATCTGATCAGTATCACACTATGCAGTTTTCTGTCGATATTGTAGTTATATTGGAGACACTTCCAACTTTTAAATCCAATACATAATCCTCCTTCTGCAAATCGCATTTTATTTGATCGGACTTTCTTGTTCCACTGGCTCTTGCTATACTCGGCCCCTTCACAACAGCAAGTTTCTTCCGGGAACAGTCTACAGCAATGACATCTACAGTGTCATCATGCTTCCTAACACGGTGACCATGGACTCTGGCCCTGCGTACTTTCGTTAGCATCAGTCTGTATTTAAATTTTAAAGCGTCACTATAATCGGCACCATTTATTACACTTGCGCCGTTAACCATCTATTCATTTACTTGCGATACCAAATGGTGTTTCTTCAAGCTCACACTATCAAGGGAGTTGGCCAAAGATCTACGTCACTCCATCTTTCTGTTTCCTGGTCGTTACGACTGTTGCAGCAAATCGACTTTGTCCAATAAACTTAATTGCCTTAATTGTGTTAGGATGTGTCGTCAGTGCCCTAATAATTTCATGTTTGAGATGTCATGGAAGGAATCCAAGCAGTTCCTTGGCAATATAGGCACTCTTGTAGACATGCACACACATCCTAAACGTCCAGCAACAGAAAGCGTGTGGAAAACTCCTACGGGTGTATCATTGGGTAACTTTAACCACTTTATTATGTGGAAGCAGCTCCTGCAGAAGCTATACAGAATACCGAGAACGTTTATGCAGTGGACAATCCTCGCTGCAGCTGCTCAGTGAAGTCGAGGTCTGGACTCACCAGTAAAGCTAACTGTCCACTCTGTTTTAAGAACATATGAAAGAAGAAACACTGCAGTAGGCCTACTGGCCCATGCAAGACAGGTCCAAGTCTCTCACCAGCTTAAACCAATGACCCAAGCTAGTCAGATCAGGTTACATCAACTTAAGGAAGGAGCACGGCATCAGACCTAGTTGCACAAGCTAGTCAGGTCCAACTCACACCCACCCACACCCACTCATGTATTTATCTAACCTATTTTTAAAGCTACACAACGTTTTAGCTTCTATGACGGTACTCGGAAGTTTGTTCCACTCATCTACAACTCTATTGCCAAACCACTACTTTCCTATATCATTCCTGAATCTGAATTTTTCCAACTTAAAACCATTGTTGCGAGCCCTGTCTTGCTAGATAATTTTAGCATGCTATTTACATTTCCTTTATTTATTCCTGTTTTCCAGTTTATACGCCTCAATCGCATCCCCCCTAATTCTACGCCTTTCTAGAGAGTGCAGGTTCAGGGCCCTCAGTTTATCCTCATAGGGAAGATTTCTGATACATGGGATCAACTTTGTCATCCCCCTTTGTATATTTTCTAGTGCATTTGTGACCAAAACTGCGCAGCATAATCTAAATGAGGCCTAACCAATGATATACAGAGTTGAAGAAAAACCTGATGACTCCTGTTATTTATGCTTCTTGATATGAAGCCAAGGATTCTGTTCACTTTATTGCGAACACTTATGCACTGTTGTCTTGGTTTTAGATTATTGCTAACCAGAACTCCCAAATCCTTTTCACAGTCAGTACTATTAAGATCTACATTATTTAGTTTATATGTGGCATCGTTATTTTCCTGTCCAATGTTTAGAACTTTCTCAATTGTCTATATTAAACTTCATCTGCCACTTCCCCAACCACTGCATCAGTCTATTCAAATCTTCCTGGAGTGCTTTAATGTCCTCGTCAGAATGAATTCGATGGCCTATTTTGGTGTCATCGGCAAACTTGCTTATGTCACTATTTGTTCCCTCATCTATGTCGTTTACGTGGATTGTGAACAACAAGGGGCCCAACACTGACGCCTGTGGAATACCGCTTGTGACGCTTCCCCACTCAGATTTCTCCCTATTTATGCAGACTGTCTGCTGCCTATCTGTCAACTACGCCTCTATCCAGGAAATTTTTTTTCCTATTCCGTGTGCCATAATTTTCCTCAATAGTCTCTGATGTGGGACTCTCTCTAAAGCCTTACTGAAGTCCATATGCACAATATCATATTCATTAACATGATCTCCTCAAGTGCCCCTCTGTAAAACCGTACAGTGATTCATTAATTGATTTATGCATATTACAACCCAGGAATCCATAGGCCTGTTATCCTAGGTGTAATGGGAGCAAAATAAACACAGCAGAAAAACTTTTGACCTATATTATCCTTCACCAAGTAAGAACAGAAGTATGTACACTGTATACACTATGTGCAACAATAGGTATTAGTGCACTCCACGGTAAGCAAGGCAGAATAGAAGCCACTAGAGAGCAGACCGTGCTTCAACCAGCTCTAGA